AAAGTTAGTACGTTCATTTACTGTGTTTGCTTGGACAACCTTATAAACAAGAAACACAAAACAGAATGATTATTGAGTAGTAAACACATCCTTAGTTTACATAAATCATGCCACTATTGAAGCAAATGAATGTTCTTTTGATATTAACAGACACTGAAATTATGCAGTTGCTCATACTAGAAATAGCAATAAAAAAGAAAACACCATTCATTTTTGGCTCTGAAACCACAATTTATTAAACAACAGATGTCAAATTATCAAACATTCTACACGTAGCTATGAAAAACTGGAGAAAAGAAGCTTCCATCTGTTTTGCCAGGCACACAGGCAGATTTTCAGGGCTCACTTGCGTGACCATTGTCATACCAATTTGTGGTGAGGAAACGGTAGTGCATTTGACTACATGCACCTTTATCTCAACAGTCTATGAAGTAAATTAATCACATTATCTTTAGACAAATATTTTCAGTATGATCCTTTGCCTGTTTTTGTCATTCAACATTAAGGGGGAAAAAAAAAAGCTTTCTGAAGTCTTTCTAGGGATGAAGAATAATAAGATAATTTGTAGGAAAGTGTTAATTGAAAAATTAATAGGGACGCTAAAATACTGCCATTCCTATTTTAAGCTTATCATACTAATCACCAGAAATCAGGTGAATTATTAAAATGGACAACCTTCATCCTAGGAAATCAAAAAAGTTTTCTCAAAATCAGATTATTTACATATAGTGTTATGCGCAATGACAGTTTGTGGGCATCACACCAAAAATTGGCTCTGAAGGTGTTAAGAGCTTATTAGCACCTTGTAGAAAGACTCAACTCTGTGGGAATTAATACACATGAGATGCATATTTCCATATTTTACTTCAGCCAAGTATACATTTCATTTCCTCATTTCTCCCCTTTTTGTCTACTGTAGGGACCAAGATGATAGTTTAAAATATAATAAGATCCAGATGAACCACATATAGTTAGGGAGAGAATATTTGTTGTTTTTGTTTTGTTTTCCTTAGCAGAACTTTCTTTTGTCTAGCTGGATGCCTAAAAGACATTAATAGATTCTTATGATGCAATAGATCCTGAAAACAGTGGTGGCTTCTGCAAACCAGATTATCTTCAAATATATACCATGAAAATAACTGTATTTCAGTAAGTCTTTATGTTTGTATTAGGCAATCACTCCACTAAGAGCAGCATCTAGTTATATGAGAGAACTAGGCATAAGCGAAGCCGTTTCTCTAACGTATGGTCACCACCGAGATCAGCTGTTGTCACTGAGCTCCCAAAACAACACTACTACTTTGGATTTTCATTTAAATGATAAGGTCATTAAAAAAGTGATATGAAGATGAAGGAAGTGCTGACTCTGGCCGTGATCTGGCATGCATTATTCTAATTGTACTAGTCCCTTCTTTTATGCCTGGCACATAGTAGGTACTCTATTAATATCTGTTGCCTTATTTCAAAACAGTATAGGAATATCCTGGTGCTTTAAGATAAATGGTGACTTTGCAGTAAATAGTGAAATCAGTACACATGATAACTCTATTCAAGATGAGCTAATAGCTCCTTGAAGCAGTGGTTCTTAACCTTTACCTAGCCCGAACATATTTGAGAGGCATCTAGCAATCTAGAAGGTGCTGTGATCTTTCATAGAGATATAGT